GGATAGCTTTACATGTTTCAGTGGATGGTACTACCTCGTAATCACAATTCCCATCTCTTGATGATGGCGGAGTAGTACCGACCGCCGAAACATGTACAGTTATCCAAAGAGCCCAGTGCCGGTTTTGAATATATTATTAGGCACTTTTAACGTTTTTAATTTATCTAATTTAGATAAGCAACATTATTTACCATGTTTAAAATTTAGTTCATTACAAACGAAGTGGTTTGCTTAGTATACATATGTACTTGTACTGAAACTGAGTAGGGATTTTCAACATTACATTCTAGCTTGTAGGCAACTCTATCTTCACTTTCTTAAACAGTTCAAATGTACTTACCATATGCTCTTCATTTACATATTTCATACAATTACCTTTTTTTTAGAAGATTTTATTTAGTTTTTCTTACACGTCTTTTTTTTTTTTTTCACTGTCCGTGTTTATCTTCTTGAGGATTAAGTGGATTCTAAAAATCATTTCTGGCCTTCTTGAAGTAATTGAAATATTCTCGTTATCTTCACGACTAAACACAATGTTAAACCTTATCGTTTACTCTACGTTATTTTTGCTTATAGATATATAATCGTCATTAGCTACTGAAAAGTGATTTCATCAAAATGACAATGTTTTATTCCAACAACATTTATTTAAAGTTTCCTGCAGTTTATAAATTTCATTATCAGTTGAATTCACAAAGCAAACAATTATTTTCTAGATTTACTTACAGAAGTTTCAAAACAGGCTGCAGGCTGGGGTTAATAACAGCCATAACTAACGTAGGATATTATTTTTAAACACCTTCACAGAAGAAGTGTAAGGTGTAAATAAATCAGGCTGCAGGCTGGTGTTAATAACAGCTATAACTAACGTAGGATATTATTTTTAAACACCTTCACAGGGGAACTGTAAGGTGTAGATAAATCAGGCTGCAGGCTGGTGTTAATAACAGCTATAACTAACGTAGAATATTATTTTTAAACACCTCACAGGGGAACTGGAAGTTGTAAATAAAACAGGCTGCAGGATGGGGTTAATAACAGCCATAACTGACGTAGAAGATTATGTTTAAACACCTTCACAGGGGAACTGTAAGGTGTAAATAAAACAGGTTGCAGACTGGGGTTAATAACAGCTATAACTGACGTACGATATTATTTTTAAACACCTTCACAGGGGAACTGTAAGGTGTAAATAAAACAGGCTGCAGGATGGGGTTAATAACAGCTATAACTGACGTACGATATTATTTTTAAACACCTTACAGGGGAACTGTAAGGTGTAAATAAAACAGGCTGCAGGATGGGGTTAATAACAGCTATAACTAACGTACGATATTATTTTTAAACACCTTCACAGGGGGACTGTAAGGTGTAAATAAAACAGGCTGGGGTTAATAACAGCTATAACTGACGTAGAAGATTATGTTTAAACACCTTCACAGGGGGACTGTAAGGTGTAAATAAAACAGGCTGGGGTTAATAACAGCTATAACTGACGTAGAAGATTATGTTTAAACACCTTCACAGTGGAACTTCAATAGCAAATGATAAAAAATCCTGCTTTCAACCAGATCAGGGACATACAAAAGGAATACCAACAGATAAGAACGTAGTACTTTGGCGTGTGCGCCCCGCAGAGATAACTAAACTGTAATTGTGACTTCAAACTGGTACTCCACAGTAATGCACGTTTCTTGCGAAATGTTTATAAGGGTTTCAGAACACGGTAGCGGTTCGATTGTCGGCTAATTTCTCTTCCAAACACGGCTCGGTAACGAGAAGCTTATATACAGCTGTCTCTTACTGCACTACGTAGAAATAACATGACAAATATTTTAACGTTTCTAGTTTTGGTGCTTTCTGATACATTTTAAAGTATTTCTTCTCTACAGAGTAACTGCTGCCCATTTTCTTCATATAGATAAATTCTTTTTTTATAACTCTCTCAATTAAATTAAGTAATACTTGGCTCTTACAGATATTTTATTTGCGACAGAGATAAAAAAATACAACCAGTGCAATCAGTGACCTTGACTTTGCTATCGGTAAAATTTTACAGTTAATATAGCCAGGACTATTTTGAATAAACCATATCAAATACGTTTCATTTTTATTTCATTTTATTTTTTGAATATATTTATCTTAACAAACCAAGAATCTTAGTTCAGTACATAAATCAAATAGCTTGATGCTAATGTTATAAGCCGTCACGAACATTCTAGAACATTTAATGAGTAAATTATGAAACTACTCCTCTGGAAAACAAAAACGGTTACTTCTAAACGTTTGCACAGATACATGATATGCAACTGTAAAAAATGGCGTCTGCAATTTACGACAGATAAGTTATTCTTCTTAACACTTAGTTGGGTTTTAATGTCCAGAAATACTGTAATGAGTAAAATTTAGTTTTCACCTAAAAACACACTGCAGCTCCACGTGTAGTAAGGAAATAGAATCTGAAATATCACGTGAGAAGGATGATTTTCTGGGCGGTTTGGGATGACCCAGGGAAAGTTAGCAGGCTGTACAGTTCTCCCCAAAGATGTAGTTCTCAACTATACAACCTACTACCTCAACCCGCGAACACCCTCAGAGTGAATACTGGTAGCTTTCCTTAAGACTTTCATCTCTCGGCACCTAGAAAAAGAGAGTTTGAGTAAGGCAATATTTCACTAAATTTTTAACGTTTACAGATACAATAGCATTTACATTTCAGTTTGTCTGGAAACTTGGTCGTTGAAAATGAATGATATGTAGTTGAAACAACTATATTAAGTACATTTTTAAAAGAACGATATGTAATGAGTCTGGAACATTCGGAATCAAAGACAAAGTTATGCGTCACCTCATTGTTTGTATTCTCAGGACATAATTCTAAATGACTGCAACTAAACATTTTGCATTGTTCAGAAATTACCTTGAACATTCCTCTGGTATCAGCACACTTGCCCAAATCGTTCGAAATTCTTATGTTTATAAAGGAATGTATGCTAATAAGAACATGTAATGAATTTGAAAACGGCAAGTTTCAATATTAGCAAAATAACACTGCAAAAGAAACTGAGATAAATATTCGAAGTACAAACGTGCTTTATAAATTTATCAAGCTACATTAAAACCTAGAAATGCATACAGGAATGTATAGCCTGTGGACACTGCTCTCGTCGGTTATTTTCCTTTTATAAGACTAAAATCAAATTTCCAGAAGATACCAGAATATCAGTTTTTACTCCTAATTACCAGTTTTTCTTATTAGATAACATATATGTGCATGCTATGCTAGTAAATCTTCACCTACAGATCAACTGTAATTTGTTGACATGCTAGATAGAACCTACGTAAACATTGTTCTTTCCTCAAATTACTGGGTTTTTTTTTTTAAATCTATTTTAATTCATGTGAATTTGAACGTTTGGAAGAAAACATGCGTCAATTTTATAGAAGAAAAGGCAGTTAAACTTAACCACAGGGAAAAATCATAATTTCTAAAGGCTACTCTGGTTTCCACCAATTACACATAAGCAGCTCAGGCCATGCTGCCATTAGTTGAGGCGCCATGCACGTGCCAGACAGCCCTGGACCTGTGGACAGAATGTACGCTAAACTGTCTGCCTCACGAGGTAGAGGGATAAAAATAAACTGACCCAGAAGAATTCGATTGGAAACAAGCAGACACTTCTTATTGGCTGGATTACAATTTCTTGTTGCTTTTCATTGGTCATAATTTCAAGGACGTCACAACATGCTACGAGACATAACACTGAAATTCTAAACGGTTCCTTGTATCACCGTAGATCTTGCTATTTACATATCTTATTAACAGGAATACAAACAATAACTTTGTAAAACAGAAGGAAACTATAAAATTATTAGAAATATCAACACTTAAAACTATAAGCTCTTAAAAAGTCTCAAGTATTATCAGCCTGACGTTGTCGCCGCTGCACACCACCATCACAGCCTAGGCCCATACAAACGAGCTTGTGACGTCAGTACTAGAACACAAGTTCGATTCTACGGGTTTAGGCGGCAGGGTGAACTTCGCCCTCAGGCTAGGCCGCCCATCATACAGAGGATGTCGAGAACTAGTGCAACGGAGTGGTAAAGGCGGGAAAACGGGCTCTTTCATCGCATACTGTAGACGCTCATTTGGACACTAGCAACCCTTGTTCTAATAGACTCCGCCTTATCTGTCAACAAATGAAGTGCTTAGTAAGTATCCATACCTGAAACCAACAGTAAAAAAAAATCGACAATACTTGCAAGTAGAGCATTTAGTAAACCGATAATCAAGTTACTACCGATATCCGAAACCACTACTAAGAAAATCGACACTACTTGCATGTAGAGCGTTAAAACAAGAAAACACAAACCAATACTAAGAAATTCGACACTACTTGTACGTAGATCATTTAGTTAAACAAGATACAACCAATATCCGACACCACAGAAACCAAAATCAAGGAAACTGAAGCAACTTACTATCGCAGGCCTTGAATTCTTAATTTACACCTTCGTGCCGAGCACTTATAACGAAATTTGTTAAATTTGTCTGAATTCTATCTTTAGTTATTATTATTACATTGTGTAATGAGGTGTAACAGATCACACGTCGATATTCGCCACCCGCCTACTTTTCTACCAATCAAGTTCAAGCGTTTAATGAAACGCAACAAAATTTTCAAACATCGAGCTGTTACTGTTTGAACTTAACTTCTAGTGAGTTATGTCTTTTTATTTCACTTTTTAGAACAATAGTATTCAGCTAGTGAACCGCGTGTAGTAGCTGGATAGTTATTTATTTAATCTTCACAGAAACTTTGTGTGTGTTCATATGCACACACACAAATACATATTAATTTTAACAATCTTAACTAAACAGATAATTTAAAATATTAACAATACACAACTTTATAGAGATTAGATAATCATTCATATTAACGATATGGATTAATATGATCATCAGTAAAAGAATAGGCAAATAATAACAGATCGAAATACTATTATATTATTCTTACTAGAAACTCATATAAAGTAAGTATCATAAATTACTATAGCTTATTGGGATGTAATAGCACACAAACTACTTATCAAAAGATCGCCGACATAGGGCGTTATTTATCAAAACAATAGGTAAATAAAATTAACTGAGGTTACGTCAGAGCTGAACAATTATAGAGAAAACAAATAGAATTAGCAATGATGCCTCATGTCATTTCTGTTAAACAAATCTACTTTCCACTTTATTTCAGAGAACAAAGTATAAAATTGAAACTGGTAGAAATTCCCAAAAATGACGCTGTTTTCCAATGACGTGTGAATTACGTCATAAAACCTTAACGGTTCCACAATCGTATATTCTCAAGTCGATTCACGTCTAGAGACTCTCGGGTATCCTTATTGTGTGATAAAAACGGAATTCAATGTGTTAAAGCTTTGTCGCTTGGAATATGAATGTTTTTTTGACATACTCTTTGCACGGTTCTTTCCAACACACGTAATCGATTTAATAAGATAAACAAATTAGAAATATAATCACGTAGTAACCAATCAAGATTTATGGAAATAGTGAGCCCAATAATATCATTCTATGTACATACCCTAACCTCGGTAACAGAGCTTAGGAAATCATAAGTACTTTACTAAACACGATGATATATTCACACAGTATTCCTGTATTGAAAGGATTGTGTACCTAAACTTCTGTATATCCTTTCTTTCGGACACGGTAATATCCTGATTGAAAACTGTCAGAAAGAGGAAATACGTTTTTTACAGAAGCTCTAATATTGCAGTTTTTTTTAACAATTTGGTTGAAAACCTAGAATCGTAATTAATACTAATACTACTTTTTTGATTATCATCCAAAACTCACTATGAAAAATAGCACGTTTTCCTGTATATTATCAATAATAATTAAACAGTAATAAAACGTGTCTGGGAAGTACTTTGAACGATTTTCTAAAAATAACTTACACATTTAAAAATCTACACTCAGCCACTTATAAATACGTCACTATTAAAAACTTGAAATATTTCTGGTACGAGAAATATAGAACGAGCTGTTTTAAGGTTTATTTTAAGATATACCGTCGTACTTTTCAATACCGTGTTTCGACTATATAGTAAAATCACGTTTACTTTCAATGTTTTTTGTAAATATATTGTTCAACATTCGTCCCTATAAATATCTTATAAATAAGATTTAACTCAACGAATATCGCTACGAAAATCTGGCGTATCATGTTGTATTCAAACAGGTTTTATCGAACAAACATTGCTACAAAAATCTGAAGATCCAGTATACACACAGAGCTACAGAGATTTGAAGCACAAGGATCCAGTATACACACAGAGCTACAGAGATTTGAAGCACAATGATCCAGTATACACACAGAGCTACAGAGATTTGAAGCACAATGATCCAGTATACACACAGAGCTACCGAAATCTGAAGCACAAAGATCCAGTATACACACAGAGCTACAGAGATTTGAAGCAAAAGGATCCAGTATACATACAGAGCTACAGACAGCTGAAGCACAATGATCCAGTATACACACAGAGCTACAGAAATTTGAAGCACAAGGATCCAGTATACACACAGAGCTATAGATAGCTGAAGCCCAATGATCCAGTATACACACAGAGCTACAGACAGCTGAAGCACAAGGATCCAGTATACATACAGAGCTACAGACAGCTGAAGCACAATGATCCAGTATACACACAGAGCTACAGACAGCTGAAGCACAATGATCCAGTATACACACAGAGCTACAGACAGCTGAAGCATAATGATCCAGTATACATACAGAGCTACAGACAGCTGAAGCACAATGATCCAGTATACACACAGAGCTACAGACAGCTGAAGCACAATGATCCAGTATACACACAGAGCTACAGACAGCTGAAGCACAAGGATCCAGTATACACACAGAGCTACAGAAATTTGAAGCACAATGATCAACTTTATCAAAGGAGGAAAAACTAAGCCAGATACATATTTGTTTCTCAACAGATATCCTATAAACGAGAATGTTTCTTAGCATTTAGTCTAACTTTATGTAATGTTCAGAAAAAATAAAAAAGCATGACTTGTAAAATATGTAAATGTTAATAAAAACTTGTTACAGCCATTTTTGGAATACCAATTCGTCATACGCCATTCTTCCTGTCGTTGTTTGCAACAAGTTTACAAAGAAATGTATGTCAGAACTGGTGTATTTTAAAGGATTTCCACGGTTAGTACAAGAGTAGTTCGCCCTCCCTCCCCCTAAAAAAACAACAAATACTAGTGCTAACAAATTATTCTTTTTTAACGAATACATTGACAAAAATTATGTATAACATAGGCATAAATAATTCTGTATGAAATATAATTATGTATCACAGTTCTCTGTCCTACGTATAACTTACAACAACTGAGAAAAATCCATCAATGAATCCAGTTTCTAAGAAATATTGAAACGAGATTTACATCTTCAAGCTATAAACAATCAGAGAAAACTAATTTCTCAACGCATATGATCTAAATGGATTAGATTTCACTTTAACTTGTTTTAGCCTTTGCTACTATAACTAAACTATAATACGTGGGCTTTATAACGTGTAATACAGAAAACTCCATAATA